AAGCCACAAGGAAACCCAATAAGATAATGTGGACAATTGCAACAATCGTTTATTTCTATATATATAAATGTATAAATATATATATGCTTTGAATTGGAAACGGCCAGTTATGTTGCAACGACGCAAGCTGGTATACGTGACTGTGTAACTTTTCTCATTTTGGACACCAAGTAGATTCTGGTTGACAACTGTCTGTTTAGCCACGAAACGCGGTTCGCACTGCGCAGTGTACGCTCATTTCCCATTTGTTTCGTCTTTTCTGGTGTTTGTCCCTTGCGTGATGTGACTTTTTTACTAGCGGCGTGTGACATAGATGTCTAGCGATAAACTGAAAGTGATTGCTTGCGAAATTAGTGCTGGTGTGGCGAAATGTGTTCGGTTGGCGTCAAACAAGGTCATTTCGAGTGGAATGGGTTTTTGTGCCACGTCACGAATCGTGCCGCGACCAAAGAGAAACAAGCATCTCCTCATCTTCACTATCGTTCTTGTTACACGTATGATTATTTTATATTCAGCAATATAATCTCCGGTCAGTTTCGAGCCGGTCGTAAAGGTATCCACATTATCACCCCTTTGTCACGTGTATTGTCGTCTCACCATCAGTGCCTTATACGTCTTATTCTGTGATGTTTGGCAGCTGTTCGATTGGCCCCTTACCCGTTCCTGGAAACGGTATCATTTTGTATTCAGGTAAACGAAATAAGAGTAAAAAAACAGGAATGATCACCCTAATTCCCATTATTTTGCAGCCGGGAGTAAAACGACTTCCACAACTGCGACAACGACGACTACAGTCAATCCAAGTGAGTGCGCAAATGTCCGCTGATTTGTGAATTTGATATGGATCGAAATGTACGCGATGACAAACGGGTCGGGGTCGGGTAATTGGACATGACACCTAGTCGAATTCCGGATTTACTCACAATGGTGAATGGGTTAATGATTGGAATGGAATGGAATGGAAGCTATTTGACTGATGAGAAAGCGCATGGTAGTGAGAATGACGGATGTGACATTCAGGACAAACAGATGCATTGCAGAAGCGTAAGTGCAAGCGAGGTCTGTTAGATTAGCATTCAAACATGATTGTTGTAACTGACGGGAATAAACGCACAACTGGTAGTCAAAGGACGCAAGGGAATGTCAAACAGTTGTATTCAGGATAAGTTTGACCCGGAAGCACGGAGAGTAAAATCGCTCAATCCGGTAGTCGGACAGTGTTTTATTGTGAATACACAGGGGATACGAAATATTGAACAACGGGATTACAGTCGCTTTGCAAATGATCGAACACCAACTCATTGACAAACTAACCCTCGTTTCTATTCCGCCACATTTCAGGCATTGTGAAAACCGACCGTGAGTTACGATCCACAACATTCGTCGAAAATCGTCCCATTTCGCCATCGCTCCCTTTCACTAACTCACTCACTCGCTCACTCAACCTTTCCCTGCAACACGCACTGCATCGCTCGTTCATTCACCCACCGCTCACTATAAACCACCCATATTCTTACGGTCCCTACGTCGATCTGATTTGGAATGTTGGTTGCAGTTTGCAATCACATTTGTATATCTGTTGTATTTGTGCTCATTTGTTGTGCTATTTTCGCTCGATTGTTCTGTTCCTTGCTTTGAGACTGTCTCCTAATTTCTGTTGTTCACGTGCATCTAGCTCTGTCTCTGTGTGCTTTGATTGTTCACCACAAGTCCCCGTTCACATTGAGCATATTATGGCCATTGCATACATTCGATTCATGTTTCACCGCACTTGGCTGGTGCTGATAATTTGGACAAATCGCTTCAACTCGACGCCAGTTGTGGAGCCTCGCGTCGCTGCGCGTTACATGGGAGCATTCTTATTGTGGAACCCGATGCCATGTGAAATGAACCATGAATCACAATGACCATTTAGACCAGTGTTCTCTACATCACCGGTGATGCGAACGCAAGTGAAATAGAAACTGCCGAAGCTGATCTCGTCCATGATAATTTACTCTTTTAAGCGCGTCTGTGGCGCATGTCACATAGGTCGTACGGTAATGCGTTTGTCTCAGCGCGTTAAGGAGCACCTCCCGCGATGGTTAAGTCAGGGGAAGACTGCCTGTATCTCAAGCGCGATCGTGGGGCATCTCGTTGCCACCGGGCACAAGATCGAACTGGAGAAAGCTTTCGATATTGTTTATCGTATCCCACTCAATCGATCGAAGGCGGCCCGAGTTTGGACACTGGCCATGGCCGAGGCAATCGCCATTCGCTTACTAGGCCCTAACCTATGTGCCCAAAAGCGACTGGTGCAGGCGCTCCTATTGCCTTGCCCGGGTGTGAAGACTAAGACAAGATATGACGTGTCACTTGACCCAGTGGGGAAAGGTCACATCAACTAACACGCGCACACACACACACAAACACAAACACCCATACACCCCCATTACTCTCTGCCTCTGATTAATGACCTTAAATGGAGCCAATGGCTATCATTATGAAAGCACTTTCCACTATAGTATATGTTAAAGCATGACGAGGAATATTGGAAAACAATTCTTCACCCATCGACTCGTCTTCTCAATGATATCATATAAATATTCAAACGTTTTGAATGTATTCGGCTAGACGACAAGTTGCTATCTAACCCGTTCAATTTTGTCTTCTTTTTATTGTCA